CTAGTGTACACAATCCTGCATTAGCTCCAAACACCTGTATGCCCACGTCAAGGATATGTTCTTCAATTTTGAAGGCTGATCGACTCAATAAAAGGGGATTGGGCCTCCAAGGCCCCATAGGAAATGCAAGAAGGGGATGGAGTCCGTGAGGACATGGGCAGATTTCACATGCAACGAAAAACAAGTAAACTTATGAGTAATAACCCTCATGACTTAATATAAGAAACTAAAGGAGAGTAATAATCACTACCGCCTAATCATCACAGTGAGAACAAGAAAAAAAATAAAATTTAATTAGGATTAGAATTCGACAAGCTCTAATGTTGTATTGTATATATTGATTGTTGATAGGAATATATATTATTTTATTATAAAATGAAATTGAAGGACATATGTGTAATAATTGCTTCCACGTGAAAGTTGATGGAAAATTTTGGACAAACATTGTTGACCACTGAGTAATGATATGTTAAAATTGAAAATGGGTTGGAGGTGTAATTGTTAGGCATGAATTAGTATTATTATTATAATGTTAGGGGGTAAGAAGATTGAGGTGTTGTATTCATATGGGTCTGCATATTGATATAATTAATAAGTGAGTAAACATAGAGAAACAAATGTTTCACATACATATATTTATATCCCATAGGTAGCAGTAAACATACAACCATAGATTAAAATGAACTAAATTCAAGATTTATTTTTTACGGTAAATTCATTTAAAGAACAAAACCGACGGACAAGTTTAACCAAAATAAAAGACAAAGAGCACAAGGCGGATGAATGAATCCCAAAAGAGATAAACTAATAATATGCATATGGCCTAAGAAAGTGCAAATTGACAAATAGTCCTTTTGAAGGAAACATGCTGAGACACGTTTCTCAATCCATCACTAAAAAAAAAGACTAAACATTTCTATCCCTTGGAATTTGATAAGAGATGGCAGCAAACAAAATCAAAATAATACAGTAGACTTTTAACACATTTTCCATACATGAGCATGCATTCCAACTAAGCAGACGACTTTAGCTTTGGTGTAGATGAATTCTAGCAAGCATCTAAACGTATTGAGGCATGTCATAGAAAGCTGGACATGACAATTTAGATTCGAAATAATACAAAGCAGAGGCCACTCGCTTTTGGCCTATTATCCTCACCACGAGACCAAACTAGGCATCTAACGAAAATAGACATGACTTGCCTATAAGTCGTAAATTAGACTAATAAAAACGTAACATGTAACCTAGATGAACCGGACAAAACATTAAAACATACACAACAATGGGACTAGATTATACGGGTATAACGCCATTTCAGAGACCGATGTGAAGCAATTATTTTCTAATGACTAAAAGGTTCAAACTTTGCCCCAGTAAACATATTGAAAAGAGGAGTGACGGAAATACGGAAATAATCTCGGATAACTATATTTTACTGATTCATACACTTAGCTTAAGGCAAGGAAAACACGATACGATGTTGAATACGGATCATTTACACAGATTCATAGCAAACACATATCAACTGAGACTAACTTGTCATTTTGAAACTGATCATTACAACACTACGAAAGCTAGGACAATAAAGAGTAGCGACAATTAGCAAACAATCTCCCAACATCTTTATATCCATATTCCGGTCAAGTTATGACTAAAAAATAAAACAGAACAACCGACGAAAAAGGACAGAGAACCCCAAAACTTGGCGTCTAAACAACTCAAAAGCTGAAAATCAAACACACTAATGCATTGAAAACAATATAGACACTGATTGAAATTAAGAGAGGTGGTTACCTTTTTTTCGAACGGCAAACTGGGCGACGAGCTAGAGATAATAATCTTTTACCACCGGAATATGGTCCCAAGAACTCCGACAAGCAGAAAGAACAAACCCAGAGCAAAAACTAAGCCAGAATTTGGGCTCCCGATCTTTACCGTTTCGAAAAATTATCTAAAATAATCCTATATAGTAGAATAGCTGGAAATTTATGGTGTATCTCGTCTCTAAAGCTAACCGTTTCCGACTTTCTTTCTAGCTTTTTCCAATATTTTTCTCTAAACCCAAATTTTCTCCCGACCCCCTTTTTCACAGTGAAGGAGATGAAGTATTTATAGGGAAGAAATTAGGGTTCCAAATGGGGGGAAAAGGATCAAAATCCGGATGAGACAAGGCCCATTTTGAATTCAAATTCAAAAATCTTTCACCATTTTGGGAGAGACATCTTTTTCTTGCAATTTTGACTCTTTCCGGAAGAGGAAGAAGGGGGAAACGCATGCCTGCCTTTGCTGCTGATATCGTACCATGGAAAAGGACGTCGAGGAAACGACAAGGAGGAGCAGTGTACTACGTTCTTCGCTGCCTTTTCGTGAATTCGCCATTTGGAATCGAGACGTCATACTGCTGTTTGAGAACGTTAGAGCTGAGACGTTCGAAGCTGTTAAGTTCTTTTTCTTTTCTTTTCTTTTTTTGAAGGGGAAATGATGTGGGCCGGGTCAAGGGGAAGGAAATGGGCTGGGGCGTTTTGGGCTGGGAGCTCGCTGGAATGGGTTGAACTTGGCCCAAAGTTGATATCTAAATGGGTTTGAATAAATTGAAGATTTGGCTATGTAATGTGATCAAACAACAACCCAAATAAATTTCAAATGCAACCAAATTGAGATTAATGGGCGAGTTTGGCTTAAATTTAAATAAGGCGAATTAATATAAATTAATCAACGAGCTTCTTAATTTTAACAAAATAAAATAATTAACTTAATTGTAAATTAACTATTTCAAAAATATAAACTATTATATAACTAAACTAGTTAACCAAATGTTTAAGTAAAACTAAATATTTTTGAGACGATTTTCGAATGTTCCTAAAATATATTATATATAAATGAATATGTAAAGTATAAATATTGTCTAAAAGTTATAATAAGTGACATAATTTATTTAAAATAACTCGCAAACTATTTTCGAAATTTGTAAAACTAATTATTTTAGATAGTTTAAAATGGAAAAAGATCGATGATTAATTTATATTGGGGAGGGTCAAAATTGGGTGTCAACAACTGTCCCTCATTTACTTGGATTGATGCAAGAAATTCGAGGAAAATGAATTGACCAATCCAATTTTGACCGACCATATCTTCGTCTTTTGGAAAAAGGATTCTGGTACGGACTTTGGGAATTATGGCCGAACCCTAGAATCAGGTTTTCTACATATCTCAGACCATATGAAAATTCAGGCCATTTGTAGTTCGATAAGCTTGATTTGCCGCACTATTTCGAAATAACTCAAAAGTCATCCCGATATCGAATTATAAAGAGACCGAAACGCTTGGAAATAAGATTTGAGAGCGAATGTTGGAATACAGCCGAGTTTTCAACATTGAGCCCGCCTACATATCCTTAAACATTAGGAATCAGGCTGCTTGTAGTTCGACTCTATCGGTTGAAAAGGAAATCTATTATGTGAGATAACATTTGGTTCTGGAAAATGACGAAGTAAGTCGAGTATGAAAAAGAGGCTTGCAACCTCTTAGCCATGAATGTGG